CTGCTGCAGCAGCCCCCTGGAACGCAGCCTCCACTCCCCAGCCTGAGAACTCGAGCACCAGCAGTTCGTCCAGCTCACGCCCGGTCGCAGAGCAGCTGCGAGAGCTGAGAGAGGAGGAGGCCCTGAAGCTGCTGAGTACGTCTGGTGTATTTCTTGTCTGCTACAGCAGTGTCTTGTGTGCACGTCTCAGCTTGAGCTGTGCCACATGGTCCTCCTCACTTTAGTGTCACACAGGCATTCGTGCCTCCCTACAGATGGTGCTGCTGTGCTTGGAGGCAGCACTTGGGAGAGCACTCGGGGTGTTCCTCCTGCCTCTGAGGGCAGCTGCCACTGCCTTGGGTGTGCCTGAGCTTCCTCCTGCACTAAAGACAAAAGCAGGGATTGTTCCCAGATGAGCAAAAGGCTCTGACCTAGTGAATGGCCCAGGGAACTCCTGTCTGCTCGTGGCCAAGTGGAGCAGAATGTTTGGCGTCCTAAATTCTCTTTACACTCCTCACTTCTCACCCATCATCAGAGCCAAATTACTTCACTGAAATCACTTGCTTCTGGCATTGATTTCTCACTGGTGTCATTTTTGCCTCTTCTGACTCTTCTGACTACTAGCATTACTTCTACAGTTAATTTTTGTGAGAACTCTACATTTTTGCCAGAGAGAACTCCCTTGGAAAAATATCGGGTGAAAGCATGAAGAGGAGAGGAAGGAAAAGGCATTTTCAGTTGGCCCCAAAAGAAAAAAAAAGATACTTTGATAACAATCCCTCTTTCAGTTTTATGCTTCTAAAGATGTATCAAGGAGACACATCTATGTGGCATGATCAGGTACCAGTGCCCTGCAGGCAATTCTCACCACCAAGCCTCCAGCCCATCCGCTGGATATTCCACAGGTTCAGGGCACTTTGTCATGGCCAATTCCCAGCCAGTCAGTACTCCTGGAATGAGAGCTGACCACAGGCCAGCTACAAGCCCTGCACAGATCAGACCTTAGGGAAACAGCTTTTAGCCCAGTTTACTCTGTGTCTACCATCAAGGGACGAAAAGTGGATTGATCTGCTCCTCCGTGTGTCTGTTCTCAAAGACAGTGAGCTTCTGCCTTGAATGTGGCAACAGCTCTTAGCGGGGCTCAGCCTGGCTGTGGCTTCTCCACAGGGTTTTCAATGCTCTTTCTTGGGCTTTTTGGTGGGGGTGTTGGAGTTGTAATCCAGCTGAGCACAAAGGGCTCAGAGCCCCAGCCGGAGGGGCTGCCTTTGGGATCTGCCTGCAGCCGGTATCTCTGCTTTCAAGACAGCATGTTGCATTTTGTGTCTTTCAGGGAGCATTGTGAGCGATGGAGATCCACTGAAGAAATACACAGGATGGGAAAATATTGGCCAAGGGTGAGTGCAACCACACTTGCTTCGACAAAGCCAGGGGCCGGGGATTTTGCTGGTGCCACCCTCAAGCGTGAAGTCGGGCAGGCTCCCAGCGTGCTCAGACACGGGGCTAAGGGTCTCCCGTCTCTCAGTGCTGATCAGAATTTCTTCGCTGCTCTTCTGTTTCCAGGGGTTTCGGAACCGTGTCTAGAGCATTCGATGCTGTCACAGGAGGAGAGGTCAGTGCCAACAACCCCCCAGATTTTGCAGCTCTTGAGTGCTCTCCTCTGCGGTGTGAGCTGTGGCTGGAGCCCTGGCGCGCCAGACTTTGCTGCCAAGGCTGTTCTCCTGAAGCCCAAGCTAGAGGCAGCCTGCAAAATGCATTTGGGGCAGACTTTGTTGTTCTTCACTCCCTGAAAGAATGCAAGGAGAGCAGCGTTATCTTGCAGAGAAGGACACGCTAGCGTGGTCTTGTCTGATAAAGGGGCATTGACTGGCTGATGGCGACTGCCGTCGTTCAGGCCCAATTTGTCTCCATCCCAGGTTCAGAAACAGAGAAGATTTAGCTTCTTTTTCATCAGGGTTTTCATCTTGAATATTGAATGCAAAAGCTAATGAAGGAGAGATTATGTTTGCAACGCAGTTTTGGCTTTCAGTCCTAGTGAAGCTACTTGGCACACACACTGACCAATGAGAAGACTTTTCCCAAGAGCAAAGATCTCTCCTGAGCAGTGCCATCCTGGTTTGGTCCAGTGTCCTTTACAGGCCATCACAGAGATGCTCTTTGTAATAAGCAGACACGGCAGTGTCTTAGAGAGTCCCTCTGCTCTTTGGGGTTCCAGCCCCACATTCCTGAATTCTCATTTCTGGCTGTCAGCAAATACATCAGAATCTTTGTGGTAGTTCCTTATCCCCTGGCAGTGCTGCGCTTGGGAACTGTGCCTAGAGAGAGGTCTACAAGGCGTCTAAAAGCCCTAAGCCCTGCTTAGCACCTAGGGCGTATCCCATTGCAAATCTCAACCATTTCATCAGTAATACGATTGCTTTCCTGGGCAACTGAGAATAGCAGCAGTTTGTGAAATAGGCATCAGACCCCCTAGAAATGTGAAGGCATTCCCAGCTGTTTGGACACATTTCCACAAGAGCAAAATTGCTTTGTGCTTGCCAATCATCTGGAAATGGTAATAGTGGTGACACACGAGGGCCCTTGGGGAAGAATGTGGGTGCTGAGTGTTGTTAGAGCTTTGTGGTTGCTGGTTTTGAGACCATTTCTGCCAAGGGCACAAGGCAACACACCCATGGCCCTGGGCCCTGTCACTGGCACCCGAGGGAGCAGAGAAAGGGGCTGTTGGAATGTCACTTATGAATTGCTCTGACGTCGAACCACGAGGCCATTGGGCACAGCTTGCCTGGGACATTCCAAAACCGTGCACTCCCTGCTCGGGGTGGTCTCGTGCAAGAGATTTCTCAAGGTCATGGTTGTCAGCGTCATTTTAGGTGGCCATCAAGCAAGTCAAGCTCCACCAACAGAGCAAAGAGGAACTCCTGAAAGAGATCCTGGTCCTGAGGGATAAGAACCACCCCAATATTGTTACTTATTTAGACAGGT